GGACGAACGTAATCAAAGCAATCTTTCTCAGTCCAAGAAGATTCGAAGACACTCATTTAAAAATGCTTTTCCATTGAATGAAAAGAATAGATAGATCTTTGCGTATAAAATGCAAGAGATATATTATATCTCTTAGTAAAGTTGCTATCAGTATTATTCGTACTAACTTCCTCTTTTTTTGATTCACAAACAGTCCGTAAATGAAAAAATGAAATCAACCATCAACCTGAAATTCGCCTGTCAATGAGAAAGGACTAAATACCACAAAAGTTAGATCGCTCCTTACTTGGATTGTAATTTGCATATCATAGAAATTTTATGCGGTGATTTTCAGCCTTCTCTTTCATCCAATTGAATATCTAACTTTCTGTCCATAAGTATTGAAATTACTGTTATGGATGACCAAAATTAAATGAATTAATAACGTTAAACTTAAAAAACTTTCAATGCAAACTGACTTTGTTAGCTTGGAATAACACGCACTTCAATATATGTACTGAAAAAACTTTTTGAAAGTACTCAAAGTAATTTTAATTTTTTATCATAAGACTGAGTTCCAATAATCCAATGTTTATCACTTAGTAAGTACTGATGAAGGCAGTGTAGGGGTTATTTCCTCCGAACTTAAGTGCTTGAGTATAAAGTCGAGAATCTCTCCACCATACTGTGCGTTCCATCGAATTTTTCGATTAATATCCGCTCGAATATGACTTATTACAGCTTTTAATCGCCCCATTAGTGCTGCGTATTTATTTTCGAATTGATCTAACTAAAATAAATGTGCTTCACAATCAAGTCATCGAGCAGTAAACGGCAGCTGACTTCTCACTTCAGATTATTTCTAACATATTTTCAAGATTTTCATTTTTTCGTGCAACGTTTGGATAATAACTCATTTAATTGCAAATGCATAAATAATAATGTTTTTACTTAATCCACGTTTTGAAGTGCTCTTTCTGGATTTTTCATTGTGATTTCTGACTTATTTGCAATAAAACGTTTGATTACATTCTTTTGTATATTATAAAATTTTATGAGTACTTATTAAGGAATAAATTTATACTCGAAATAATTTATTAACCTTCTTCAAATCCGCTTCTGTATTATATCCTTTGGCCATCTGAAGTACAAAAAAAGATCCATACTTCACATGCCTGCAGTTTTCAAATTTTCATTAAATTAGGATGCTCTCTGCTTTAAATTAACCACCAAATAATTTACAAACTTTCAGTTTACCCCTTAAATTATCACCAATTTTGATTGTTCAAAGCTGTACAATTACTTCATAACTACCTTATCTACAATGACATCTAACACACATTTAAATATTCTGGCCATATTTTCATATGCATAAAATAATAATTAGCTTACCTTTGAAAAAGTTCCGCAAAATGATCATATAAATATTGCTCGATGACTTGATTGTCATAGTTTTTTCTGAATCAAAGCTGCATGGTAGAGGATGAATTTTGCATAAAGTAGAGTTGTATTTATATTGCGATAAAACTTCTAAGACTTTTAATTTCTTCAGGACTCATTGCAAACTCAAATACAAAATTTTTCCAGTGTTAGCAAAAGTTTAAATTAATCATACCTTGAAAGTTCGAAAAGTTTAGGTCGAAAATCGGTATCTTTTTCTTTTTTCATCAGTACTTCATTTACAAGTCTAAACAAGCAGTCATACTTATGCAAATTAAGCTATCATTGAATTATTCGGATATATTAATTGGCTTTAGCAAAAGTAATTTTTAAGCATTAAATAACTTGGAAATTAATTGTAAAAAATGTATTATAGCAATAAGCGAACGCAGTATAAACTCATCATAACCCAAATCCAAGCAATCACAACTCAGATGAAAAAATAGTTGTCAGTTCTGTATTAGACATTCTGCGATTAACTTTGGTATTTTGGAAAATTCAAAATGGTTTTGTCTTGAAAACATTTATGAAGTGAGCAAAAAGAATAATCTAATAACTTGCTTTATGAGCGAATGCATTCTTTACCAAATTTCAGTCAGCAAATTTTTTAGCCAATGCAAAAAGCTTGCGAATTTTCAATTTTTTAACGTGCAACTTGTGCAAGAAAAATCAGAAGCTTTGAAGAAGAAAATACATACAAAATAAGTTTAAGAAATCATTTACTCTTTTAAATAAGTTTGATTGGAGGTGCTGGCGAGAGCAGAGAAAATTCGATCACGTTCTGCGTGATACTCTTCGGCGTGAAATTTATCAACGAGAAATGACAGTTCTGATTCATTGCCATATTTCGATGCTACCATATAAGCCACATTCCGTGAACTTGCTTCTAACCTTCATTTCAGACTATTTTAATTTAATTATAAAAGAATTGATAAATCGGGCTACTTGATCAATTGAGTAATGCATATTTCTTCACTTTGGAACTATAAGCACTTAGTGATAACATTCAAGTTTTGGTAAAAAATAACTTTTCAAAACAAAGTAAAATTACAGTATTTAAATTAAGTAACAAATTTTTTAGATGAAATTAATCGAAATACTCGAAAAATAAGCTATATTCATCAAATAAAAATCTTGCTTAAACTTATACGTTTTAAGATGACTGGATTTGTAATGCAACGTGAAACAAATGTAAAAATAAATATATTATTATGAGAGCATTTTCTTGTAAAAGTTTGGTCTTGGATGTTTACAAGAAACAATTTTTCAATTCAATAACTAATAATTGCAGGCATAAAAATGCTAGAGACAAATTACTAATCAAAAATATAGCTAAGAAATTATTTTGCGCTTTTTGAACTCTTCATGATAGGGGAAGATCTAGTTTTTTCGATGATATGAATAGAGAATGCAATTATTAATCAGCTTAGCTTTCTTACCTGATATTTTATTCTTAATCCGCTGAGTATTTTCATACTATAAAGCAAATGCTGCTCTCAACAAATATTTTCCGAGTATTATTCAGTAAATTTGCAGTAATAAAAGCTAAAGGACTGATAACTAATGAGCTTACCAATTGCAAGAACTGCTTAACTTTTCATGCGAGCAATTAACATAGAGTGCTTGTAATCGTAATCGAAGTTGTTGAATGCATCGTTGATATCCACTGGCACACATTTTCAGATATATTAATTCTCTTAGAATTCTTAAAGCAATTTTCTTAAATATTAATAAATATGTAGAAAAAAATATTTTTACTGCTGTCATATTTGTGAAATATATTGAAATGAGCTATGGAGAACAAACTTTTCAATTAAAAAAACAAAATAAAGACGCAAGATTTCACGTTTAAAAATGATTAAAGCAGAAATTTAAAAATATACTCACTCAAATTGTATTTCATTCAAAAGATGCGAATTAGATTCGGCTTCATTTATTCGATCAAAGGGAGGCTCCATAAGAAATTGAAGAAATTTCTGCAAATTCGAATAATAAGTGACAAATAATAAGTTTAATGAGTGACAATTAACAAATTATATTAATTTATCAATAAGATTGATTTTGCTAGCAGAAAAAAGTTGCTTAGCATGATAAGCGCTTTAGTTAAACTTGAAGAAATCTTTGCGGATGGTTTTCAAAATTAGTAAATGATTATTGTGTGGAAATGCGATTTCCCTCAATAGACGTACGCAAATTTGTTGTTAATGTAAAGAAAGTAAATTTAATAATGAATATTATTCATAATTTCTTAGTTTCAAAAATTAAAATTGCATAAAAATTATCGCAAATTATGGAATCTCAAAAAGCCGTAGAGACAAAATTTTTGGATAATTGTTGTTACAACACTGATAATCTATGAATAGGTTACATTAAGCCTGGAAGCATTTGGATGGCGATATAAGCGAAACAAAATTAATTCAAATCGAGCCAAAAAAGTAATAAATGGGACAACTTCATTTTCATTTCTAAGATATAATGACATTTTCATTGCGATTGCGTACGGAATATGTCCATTCTCGGCTAGCACAAATGCATCATCTGCAATTTCTCCCAGAATTTAGCACTTTGAGTTTTAGCAAAATTTATTTGCCTTCTGAAAGCTTGTTAAATATTTTGTATTTTCCCTTCTCTGAGAGCAATTTCAATTTTCTTCTTTATCACTGAAGAAAATTTTAATTTCTTATCGCATGCAAAAGCAGTTCAATAGCATAAATTGTAGAAATGAATATGGAATGAAAGTGGAACAGATTGCACTGATTAGCTCGCTGGAATTCAGTAATCTGCTTTTTTCCACAGTTCACTTTGATGTGATGTGGAAAGCAAGTTTTGGCACAAATGTAGCGAGCGAGTGGAAACTAAGGCTTAGTTTGGTTTGACTTAAGGAATGACTGCAGTCTTTTATTTATTTATTCAAACAGTAAGAATTAATTTATGCCTAAAAATGCAACTTTATGAGATATAACAATTGAAAAAGTAAGTTTTTGGTATTTACGGAGTCTGAGAAAAATAAACATTTACCAAGAAGTTTAATTCGCGTAGATACAAGAAAATTACTATGATTATTCAATAAATGTCTTGTTAAAAGTTTCCAGTGCTGAAGTTCGTATTCTGTGCGGTAATAACCATGAAACTTCGGATCGATTACAAAAACACGTGGCTCACGAAATAGTATCTTTACTAAAATGAAGAAACGGGCAATGTTATATAATTTCAGTTTTGCATCTTGCAATTTATGCAAAAAAAAGATTTCTTACGTACTTGATATTAGATCAGAACTTTCAGTAATAATCTTCAAGTGACTTCAAGTGATACCAATCACAAACTGATCACATAATCAAATGTAAATCAAAGTTAGCTCACCAGTCTTGCCTGCTTCCAACCAATAAAGTTCATCACGTCCATTTTTCTGAATAAATATTGGTACATTCCATTGAGTACTAGCGAATTCAGTGCTATTATCGAAGTCAAAAATTTTTTGACCAATTTCGAAGTAATTCCCACTCTGTCGAACCTGTCAAGCTGTCAATTAATTCAAATCAAACATTTGCTCATTTTCTATTACTAATGCATGTGGAATTCATCCAACTATTATTTTGGCTTAATTTTTATATTTTTCGAAATTTGCATAGTACTTTAGTTAATGTAAAATACAATGACTACTTCATATGCAATTTTTATAGAAGCAATTCATTACTTTAATTAATTTACTAACAACGCAAATATTTGTGAGTTTCAATCTGAGCTATTTGTAGTGAAGGACTTTCTCCTCCGAATAAATTATGATTTTTAGAGCTATTCAACTTTCTCTTTGTCTCTGAGCTCTTTTAAATAACTCAATCTTTTTTCTTCATCACTGAAGCTTCAATTTTTTATCTCAAGAGAAACCAACTTCAACAGCATAAAATTTTGGAATAAAAAATGAAATAAGTAATGACATAAGTTTGAACTTGACCTTCAGAAGCGGAAATCCTCTTTGATAAATCCAAGAATCGATGTAATCGGAAGCAGTGACATTTGCGATCGAAAATGGATCATAATGGCGATAATTAGTTGCCTTGAAAATTCTTTAACAAAAATAATTGCTGAATTACAACTTTGCAGGACTAAGTTTTTCTGCAAATTTGTGCCGATGAAAGCTATAATTTTAAAATTGCTCAAATCCCAATGTCGTTTTAAAAGTCTACTTTGAATAGATTAATTAAATAAATAGAAATATTCCCTAATATTTCAAATATTTAATTGGTTAAACAAGCAAAATGATTGACTTGTTTTCATGAATTTCAGTGACAAACTAAAACTATAACAATATGATAAAATGATGAGAGTGTCGACATAAATTCTAATCGTTCTCCAAACTATTTTCCACTGTTTGATAACACTAAAATTCGTTGCAGTATATCGGACATGAGTATGGCAGATAAGTAAAGTCAAAGAATATAATTAAAAAGTATAAGTTACAAGTTGTTTCAAAAGATAAATCATTTTGTTAAGTGATAAAACTTTTTAATATGAAACAAGATAAACTTTCAATATCAACAATGCTCACTTTGAAAAACAATTCAAAAGATCTTTTTTTTCAGCATTTGAATATGCAAATTTCAGCAAGTAATGGTTCAAACCCATTTGAAACACTTCAGAACCAACAGTTGACTCAACCATACGAATCACAGCAGCACCCTAGAAAAGCTACCTTAGACTGAGACCAAATGATCACAAAGTATTTTGGTAATAGTGCTTTGAGCGTGCATTAGTAGTAAAGTAAATGTTGCTAAGAAATGGCTAAAATCATTAATATTTAATCAAAAAGTCGATCTGAGTTTTTATAGATTGGACTTATAGCAATCCAATTTTATCATGCAGTACTGAGTAACTAGTAGTGAGTGCTTTGCAAAAATGTACCTTATTGTAAATTATTTTGATATCCTGACTGTGTATTCGATCACTGGTTGCTCTCAGGCTAATTGGCTGAGTCATTTTCGTGTACTGATCGCTTGATAAGGCTCTTAGTGTTATCTCTGCCGCAAAATATTGTGACTGCAAGGACAAAGTTATCAGTGATGTGATTGAAGTTACGATTGCAAACGAATATATATCATATATACTGTATTGACCATTGGTTTCTGACGGTCTTTTGTGACCGAAACTGCTTTTTCTTTAATAATTTGTCAATTAATTTGTGGATACTACTGGTATTTAATTGTGATTGCTGGCATGATGTGATTTTTCATTTTCAAGGAGATTAAACACTTTCTGAAGTGATCGACAACGCAGTGACAAGCACAGCAAATTGAAGAGATTGTCATGAAAAGTATGCATGTATTTATATTTATTATACATATGTATGTATATGTATATTAGTTGGTCAATGACTGAAGAATATGCTCTATTATTTTATCTTTTCACTTTCCCTCTCTTTTTTGCGTTCGATCTGCTCAGTGCAGTAATATTTTACCCCTGAGTGGGCATGGAAATTAAACTTCCGTCGTTGTTTGCTCAACAAATTTTGTCTCAAGCATTATACTCAGATTAGCCAGTCAAGCTTATTTATGTGTTTAGTGTTTAGAGCAGATATGCTTGTTATGGTCTAGCAGCAATTTGTAGTGAACTAATTAGCATAAATGCTAGAAGAAGTGATTAATAAAATGAAATTGCCATTCGCAGAGTTGAATTTTCAACGAAATCAGCCGCTTTCTGGCCTATCATCGTGGCGAACCCTTCGTTCAGCCACAAATCGTTCCACCATCGCATCGTTGCCAAATTTCCAAACCACTGCAATTAAATTTGTCGATTATTAATAGAACTAAAGTCATCTTTCACTTCAATGCTTTTTGAGACAATTAAGTAACCACTTTTTCAATAAATGACTAACTGCATGGCATTCACAATGTTTAAAAAGTGCATTATTAATCTGATGTCCGAAAAATATCTGTATCACATGAATAACAGTGGTCAGCGTCTGAAATATTTGGGCTAAAATTGCTTAAATTATCAAGTATTTTATCAAATCTTTTAAAATATTTTGGAAACTAAATATGAATTTCTCAAATTTAGTGTAGTTTACAAAGGAATGAAACTTTGTGTGAGTTTGTCTTGGTTTTGTAAAATTTTACAGAATTCCAAAATTTTTATATTATCATAAATTTAGCAAATAGATATAAAATGTTTAAAATATTGTCTTGCACCTTTTAAACAGTTTGTCAATATTAAGAGATCTCAGAAACTATTTTTTGTTTTTTGAACAAACTTACCATATGCGCAACTTCGTGTGCAATGACATCCGTGACAACGCGTCTTTCACGTAGGCTGTTTAACCGCTCATTATAAAGTATCAATTTTTGACGTACAACTATTAAACCCCAATTTTCCATAGCTAAAACTCGGAGTTCAGGAACAGCGAAGACATCTGTAAACTATCAAATAAAGCAAGCTAAATGAAGAAATAAATCAACTAACTTTGCAGCTTTTGGATTTTCGATCGCTAAGTTTAAGTTTATTATACCAAGTATTCAGCTTTATTTTTTAAATACTTCTACAGACTCACTTTTATTTCATATCATCAATAAATGATAGTTTTAAAATTATTTCATGACTTAGTTTAGTCGAATTTACTATCAAAACATTTTGTCATTTGGAAGTAGAAAATGCCTGGATTGCTACAAGTACTGAATATATTCAAAGTACAATAGTGAGTTTTGCTCAACAATGAAACTGCTAGTAATAATTCAAAAAACTGCAAATATTTGATGTAGAAACCAAGTTTTTTGAGCGGGTAAGGAATAGCGAAGAATTTTTCATAATATGTCAGTAGTCGGCAAAGAATGTGAAGAACATAGCTGATATCATTCAGCTTTGTGTGTTGACACCAAACTCGAACCTGAAAAAATCGTAATTTTTGTATTTCACGTCAATAACAACAAATAATTCATTACTAAAATTTAAATTTAATAAAAACAATCTTTGGATAATGTTTATTAGCAAAACAATCCATAACTTAAGCCAAGCTGTAATCACAATATATTTGCAGTTTCAGCATTTGCATAGAAAGCTATTTGCAATTTTAAATAAAAAAATCTGAAGCAAGTTTTGTAATATGTCACCAATTTGTTACTTTAACAACATTCAGGAACGCTCTTGCTTATATAATTATATTTATTCAAAAACTATGCATACAAAACTAATTAGCATTAAAAAAGTTGGCAGAGTTTGTTTGATACTTTTCATTTTTATGAAAAAGTTTATAATTGTTGGATATTGTGAATTTAATAACACGTTCTGCATCTTTACCTATTTTTTTACTCAATTTATCTCGCTAGCTTGGAATTAAAATTAGTTGATAATCATTTCAAACAGTTTACAAAGTATAGGTAAATTTTTATGGCTTGGTTAGACAAAACATGATTTGAATTAATCCAAAAGTAAATTTATTTCATACAGAGTTTCAAGCATGATTTTGTGTTCTGGCGCACTAATTTACAATAACTGAATCATGTAGTTATGAAGAAAATAAGCTTGAGAATGAGTGATAAGTGATCAGAATCAAGCTTTATGGAGCTAGTACGTTCTTTGATTTGAAATAAATTTATTTTGAAGATTTGAATAAGTTTATCAGCAATTGAATATCATAGTTTTTAATTAAAATAAATTAGCATTTTAAATGGGAATACGAGTAAATAGACCTGTATATTTTTACAGTAGTGAAGTTTGAAAACAAAATCGCTAACAGCAATGGCTAGCAAATATGTTGACATAACAGGCGAAACTTCAAATTCTGTTTCACTCCACTCCCTGTAGAAATTTCAGTTGCTGCTGACCAATAGTAGCACTACTTTGGTAATGTAAAGTAGAAATGTAGTAAGAAATAGAAATTAAATATTGAACTGATCAAAAGCTTTTTCATCCAAACATTAATTCATTTATTGTGTTGTATTGTGTTAACAAGCTCCAGCAGTTCATTCACATGCGTTATAGCCTACACTTCTAATCAAAGTTTTATTTTTTAAAGCAGTGCAGTGTCAGAATTCCTCAATATGAATAAAGTAATAATGTCGATAGCATTTTGCTGCAAATGCTAGTTTTATAATAATTTTCATTAAATATTATAACTCATGACAATTAATATGATGTCCTGCCCATCACTAAGGGAAGCAACCAGCTTTACCCTTTCTCACTTGAGTAATCAGCAGTTTTTGCTGAATACTGCACTGCTCTCTTCTGACACAATTATTTCTCTGAATACTTTAAATTAGCAAAATTTTGTCAACTTTACAATTTTTCCATCTAAATCATTTATAAAAAGAATTAATTATTGTAACAAGTTGAGATTTCGGTATCGACGAATAGGCGAGTTTGATATTGCTGATGTTCCTATGGGATGAATTATACTGATCTTGAACGCTGCCTTCATTTCAGGTTCATCAAAACAAGGCAGTAATCGACTTGCATCTGTTGGTTGTAATTGTGTTAATGCCAACAATCTGAATATCAAACTATTTAACAAATTGCTTCCAGAATTTAATGTTTATTCTAAATTAATAATAGTGTGTACTTATGGTCTGATCATAATTCGAACTCATTATTATTGGGTTGATTTTAGTGTTTGTATTTTCCATTTCGGATAAACACAAGAAGATTCATAAATTATTAAGACTTCTGTCTACGAAAATGTTTTTGTAATCAAATCGATAGATAGACTCAACCGATTTGTAAAAGTAGCCATTTCACTACACTGCTTGGAACAAAAGTAATCTCAATAAACAATATTTTTTCATCTTCTGAATTCATTTTATTAAATAAT